AATCAGGAAAGTTTTTTTTTTTTTTTTTCTTTTTTATGCTCTACTTGTTTATTGTACTATAAAGTAAAGATTACATTTATATTATTGATTAGAAGTTAGATTGTTATAATGCGGGATTCATAGAAAACAATTATAAAAAACTACAAATTTTACTAAACATATTCAATGTACAACGGATCACTCACAATTTGTTTTATTGCTTGATGATGATATATACTATTGTACGTGTCTATATTTAATATATGCTAGATTTGTTTGTCGATATTTCTTTTTCATTATGATACAATCAAAAAAGGCACTCTTCAATATAAAGCTGATTCTCTCTTGCTAGTATTTCGAAGAAGGTCTTGCAGCATTAGACAATCAAAAATCATCTGTTCAAGTAGTACAAAATAAAGGTGAACCACTTCCAACTAGAACATTTCAAGTATTACAAAGAATTTGTAGACAAGAGATTGATATTAGAAACATTGTAAAATTAGATTCAAAAAAAGTTTCTTATAGTCGTGGTCTTGGACTTTGTAAAAAGGCTCTAAATATAGCAATCACAAATGGTTCTAATAAGACTTTGGAAAATATTTTACAACAATTTATTGATAAACAAATTTCAGTACAAAATAAAAATATATTTGAACAAAAGTTAAATCCAGAAAATAACGAATTTAGTATTTCAAATTCACATTAGTATAAGGGTAGAGGCTATCCTGCAAACAAAAGATAATTAACAGCGATTGAGAAAAATAATAGCAAAAATAGTAGTTCGAGTAATCAAGCTGAAATATCAGAATTAGGATCAAAAAAGAAAAACAAGCATCAGTGTGATACATGTAAGTCATGGTACCATGATTCTCAAAATTGATCTTTAAAAAAAATGACTTTATTGAATTAAGCAGATGAACTTGTGGGTGAAATTACAATTTCTGCTATTTGATATGATTTTGCAATTATAAATTCATAGCTTTTTATTTGTTTGATAAGTTTTTGTTGTGCCTGTGTTTAATGCTATGTTTAATGTGCAAAATACTATATACTTCGAATACATACTGTTAATTAAAATAAGATTTTTGAAAGTCAACCTCTAATCAAATATTTTTGGGTTAGGTTAGAGGTTAGGGTGATTAATATTACTAATAGCTAATACTTTACAAAACCATTACCCCATATTTACTTAATTACCAACAATGCTTATATATATTTACATCATTAACTGAATTAGAATTGGTTCTTTCATTTAATTGATTGATCAAATATGTGACTGTAATCGGGCCTATTATATGTTCGATCAGATACAAAAGTTGTCTCAATATCTACATATCTGAGCAGCTATTAAAAAAAATTTTTTTTATAATTCTAGATTTGTAGATTAGAATAATTGGTACAAAAAAATTTGGCGGTATGATAGCAATATAATCTTATAGATGGATCTAATGCTAAGTTAGATGTATTGTAGTTTTTAGCTTACATCTGTAGCTATTTTCATAATCTATAATAATAAAATTGTCCAAGAAGTCTTTTATATAAAAGGCAATTTAGTAGGTCTAGTTAGGAATTAGAACTGTTCAAAATTTTCTTATATGTTTAATCATTTAACTGTATTAAATTTAATCGGCACTAACTATAATCAACATAATTTTGTCCTGGCACTATAAAAAATTTTTATATAGGTATGTACATACATACATAGGTGCCAACCAGATTATCCAGGTGATCTGAGTAGAAATATATAAGTTACATGTCAGGTAATCTGATTTATTATTGGCCAATTATCACGTGACAACTGTTGTATCAGATATTTGTAAAATCATGTGATATATACTCAAAATTTAATTAGTAATCTAAAGTAGGTTATTAATATACTCTGTTATTAATATATGCTGTTAATAATTATAATTGTTCATATTAAATTGTATAATAATAATATAATTAAATAAATAAGATTAAAATATTATAATATATTTACAATATGATTTTAATATATTAAATTATATTATATTATAACTATATTGTATTTGTGTTTTTATT